CTGTTTCTCGGAGAAAATAAACAAGTTGAGGGAATGGCTTCATGTCTTTAGAGGTCCAAGATGACATCAGTGAACCACAAAAGACCTAATAAGCTCTTCTTATAATTTATTACAGTACTTCTTAAGTACTAGTACTAGTAGTACTCTTGCATACAGAACAAGATCAAAATTGTACTTCTATTCGTGCACATCCTCCAGTCGTGTATCGAGACTTAAAATAAAGTGAGTCAGTCAGACTGAAAAATGAGGTATGAACACAAGATTACGYAAATGTTACGTATGATTTGTACAGCACATCACAAACTACCAACAGCGTAATGTGTGCTACTTCTAATACGTACGACACGGTTCGTACCTTTAGAATTAAGCATCGAACTACACCGATGCCTCATAATAATAATATCATACCAACACTGATCTCATTGAACTGCTGACTTTCGGCACTAAGAGTTTAATAAAAATWCATTAAAGGATTGGTGTAATCATGGCACGCTTCATCCCGAGGTATGGATTATACCCGCTTCTGATCTGCTTTCTACCTCTCATTGCCGTCCGAGCATTCATCTCCATCCATGAGTTTGTTCCGACCGATTCAGCTCTGGGAGCATCACGTCGAGAATTCGGGGCCATTGCCTTCGGCGAATGTATCGCATTGTCGARTGGTCCAGCGTTTGCGACCGGCAAYCCGTCAGTACCGAATGAGGGTATTCCACAATTATTGTTGGCTTCGCAACAGTTCCAATCAGATTCATCCAACCTTCCTTCTGGATTACTAGAAAGTCGTCTAAGCGGCGACGTTTTGGAACCACCACCATTTGGAATGGAAGGCACAGATATCTTCTATCCTTCGTAAGTAGTATTGTGGATTTTATTTCAAAGGTATTGATGTTGACCGATGTCCAGATTCCTCTGACTGAATCCAAACATGATGCTCAAATAATGCACTTCGAAACTTGGTATTCATTTAGTTGGTTTTCGGGGTATTGGAAGATAAGGTCTGAAACAAAAGATGTCAGGGCTCCTTGCGGAGTTGGTCTTTTTGGAGGCAATGCAACATTTATTAATGCCCAAAAAGATATCGGAAATGTCCTAAGTTATGACTGTAGATTTTTGAATGCGGATTCTGGTGGTGTCATCGCTGATAGGGAGTACAATGTCAAATCGATTGCTAAAGTATCTATGGGAGAAAATAGTGTTGTTGATGTCTCGGTTGCAACTCCAAATAAATTTTCTTGCCTTYTGGCTCCTAAAGGTTCTCCAACGCTTTTATCTGTAGATTTGATTGTACTTAATCGAAGGCAGGAAAAAGACGACGATCCAAACAAGTTTTATTGCAGTGAAGTTGTAAGGGAGATTGCGAAACCTGTTGACGAATCACCGCAACAGCGACAGCAAAGGCAAGCCTCAGTWCTAAAAGAGATTGAGACTACATCGGTATACACATACGATCMGAAAAAAGACGAAGTTCGTTGTACTCAGAGGTCAGCTGCATTTTTGTTGCCATCGTCGCAAAGCGAAATGGCGATGAGGATGTGGCAGCTAAGCAGGGGACGGGCAATCGATGTTCGATTCTACGATGTTCTCTACACCCGAAGCTAGTAAAGAGAGACGACAACTTACTAAATCCTGTTATGATGACACCAAACCTATGTGTCAGTTTGGAATTCATTTGTTGCAGCGTTCAAAGAAAGAATAACACATCAAAGTAATTATCTTCAGGAATGGTAAAATATGTTCTGGTGATACAGGATTCCCTAGCTTGGTTGGCTATAAGTACTACTAGTAAAAACCAGCAGCACTGCAATGTATCCTACTACTAAGCATTTTGTAACAATTGAAACCGGACTCACCAGAGAGCAAAAAGTAATGATTTCAAGTTCTTAACTTCGATTTCAAGTTATGAACTTTTGCTCGTACATCATGTGCCAGGTTCTAGTGAGCTAGTTTTWTAAAATGACTGCCGAATGACTGAATGGATTCCTGGGGCCCCTCCAAACAAAAAAAATGGTTCAGAGGTCATTCAATCATGAATCCGGCCTTTCAATCATGRATGCCATCCAAAAACTAGCTCAGTAGAACCTGGTAGACTTTCTACCAGGACATTTTGAAGTTCATAACTTCAAATCGAAGTTAAGAACTTGAAATTATTACTTTTTGCTCTCTGGCAAGTCCGGTTTCAATTGTTACAAAATGCGAAGTAATGGGTATGAGTTGAGCACTAGCTTCTCTTAATACGTGCGCTTGATCTTGCCACAATCTGACAACTATTGGCACTAGCASGAGCTCTGCTGGTACCAGTATGAAACTCTTCAGTGAGAACTGCTGCTGGTACTAGTGGTGGTGTTGATCTAATTAAAAAAAATCTCAATATTATATTTAACCTCGTGAACTAGAAGAGGCACTATATGGCCAGAACCATAGCTTTCGTTAGAAAGAATGCTTCTAGTTGCACCGAGGGGCGGCGCCTCCCTCCGAGGAGGTGTTGTGGAGACGCGACCAAGTTTTATGCACACTGATAGGCCAACGAAGGCTCACACTGAACTCAGAGGACATAAAAACAATAGGGTCACACTGCCAAGCCCGTAGGATGGGGGGCCACAATCCCCAACCCGTAGGCAAGTTTCCAGGCGCAGTGATCAAGGTGATGTTGGTTCACAGTTTGGATGGATAAGAACCATGCCATTACCATTTCAAATGAGTACTGCCAAGCCTGTAGGTTGGGGGGTCTCAATTCACAACCTGTAGGCAAGTTCCCACGCATAGTGATCAATGAAATGGGTGTCAAGCACACTGGCAAGCCAATTAAGGCAAGGACACC